AGCGTGGGTGTGTGTCGTCGGCGTTTGGTCGGCCGCGTGTGTGTCGGGTGGCGTGTTTTGTACGGGCCCGCCGGGTGTAGAGGGCTGTGTTGGCTGCGTAGGGGTCCGTGGGAGGTTGTGTGCGTTGAGCCGTGCTGCCCACTCCTCGTGTGCTCCGTTTGCTTCCTTTTCCCCCCTTGCCTCTTGCTCTGTATGCTGCGATCCCATGGGCGTTCGTGTGTCACGCCACTGGCGGTCCCCGTCGGAGGTGGTGTCGCTGTCGGTGTTGTCGAGGGCCATGAGGAAACCCAAGTTGTCCGACTTGGCCCTGAAGGTGGCCCCGTGCGTCAGGGAGCCCTCCCAGAGGGTGTTGAAGTTCGGAAGCCCTCTCTCGGCCTTGAACTTCTCCAGCACCTTGTCCGGGATGTGGCTGTTGTCACGCTGCCGAAGGCCAAGATACAGGCCCTCCTCGCCGAGACCAACAAGTACCTTTCGAAGCCCGTGGTGGGGGCGAGAGAGCTGAGGTCCTATACGGGGGCCCTCTGTCGTCGTTCTGGGCGGTTCTCACCAGGCACAGTGTGACGAGTGAAGGTCAACCCCTCGCGGTGACCCGAAAGCTCATACATTTCAGGAGGATCGCGCCGGCGCTTCGATGGGTCAGAGCTCTTCTGAGTGGCGGGCCCACCATAGAGAGGATCTACTACGCCGACCCGCCGAGGAGCAACCTGGAGATAGTCACCGATGCCTGCCCGTGGGGAATGGGAGCTATCCTCAGGGAAGGTGGGCAGCCCAAGGCCTTCTACTCCCCGACGCTGAGGGCCAGGTCGCTCGCCGCAGCTTGTACGCCAGGGCCGTCCAGGACGTAGATCGGGTCGTCCACGTAGCATTGGAGGTCGGCGGCGGAGACAGCGGCGGACGACCGTCCAAGCCATGCTGCCGCTCTGCCCCACACGGTAGGCGAGGAGGCAGATCCGAAGACCAAGGTGTTGAAGTGTCTTCTCCTCTTGCTCCTCTTGTTGCGACAGCCAGGCAGGGCTGAAGCTGTAAACCGACGATCTCGGCCGGCCGGGATATTCATGAAGACGCCGGCCAAGAAGGGAGGTCTTCTTTTGCGGTAGGCCGCGCGGACCGAGGCGACGACGTCGAGGAGGCGAGGCAGGATAATGCGCTCGCCCTGGTTGCAGGCGGTATTGACTGCGGACTCGCGCAAATCCCAGATGACCCGGCCCAGACGGGTCCTTCTTCTTTGACGAGGACCCCCAACTTGTTGAGGACAGGCTCCCCGTCGAGGACCTCGGTGGCCTCTTTCTCAGAGTAGGCCAAGCTGCAGAAGCCCCGCTTGAGGTAGTCGCCGATCAGCTCCTCCAAGGTCTCCGCCTCTTCCTCGGCCGACTTGTAGTTGGTCCATCCCTCGAGGGCCCTCTTGTCCAGCTGGCTGTGGGGAACCAGGGCCTTTGGCTGTACCCTGGGGAACACGCCATTGCAAGGGACGGGGTCCGAGATGCCGAGTGCCACATCGGGGCGTGCCCCAAGAGTAGTGAGGACAGCTCCCCTGACTTTTTTTCGACCACGTTGGGATCAAAGTCGGCCGGCTCTTTCCCAAGAAGAATGGCCAAGGCTGGTGCCAGGAGCTCGGGCCACACCTCGAGGGCTCGGCGGAGGAGCTTGTGGACTGCCCTGCCCACCTTGCGGGTGAGGGGCAGCTTCCGCAAAGAAAGGCGAGGATTCCTCATGCCCCCCAGCGCTTTGGCATTCTCCTCCTCGCGCTCGGTCCGGGCTCGGGGCAAAGCGCCCAGAGCCTCGACCGGAACAGGTGCTCAAAGGGACTCCGACTCCAGGGTCGAAGTTGGAAGTCCTGGAACAGAGAATGCGCGATGACCTGAAAATTTTGAGGAGCGTATTCTCCCTGTCTCTTGAAACCCACTGTTGGCCCTTTGGGCCTCTCTCCTTTCGTCCGGCCGCTGAGTCGTGGGCACCTCTTGGATGGTCGCACCGGAGGCCCTTGAGCTCTGCGAAGCCTCTGGCGTGGGAGGCGAAGAGGATCTTGGTGGGCTTGACTGTGGAGAGGCCCAGCTTGCACTGGTCGAAGACGACCTCCCCCAGGCGGTCCAGGCCAGCGAGCTGGCGGATCAGGGGCATCTGCCAAAGCTCGGGCGATGGCTGCCGTGAACCGGGTTCTCCAAACCCCAGGTCTTGTTCTGGTCCCAGAGCATGGAAAGGATGTCAAAGGTGCGCTCGACCAGGACATTCGCTTCCTTGACGGTGGCCTTCTCCTTTGGGCTGAGGTCCCGGAGGCCCTCGATCTCCTGCACCGACCTAGGCTTCACCTCGCGAAGCGGGCTGAAGGTGCCGCAGGGAGTGCCCGCGAAGGCCACCGCGAAGTCGCCGTCCAGGACGTCTTTCTCGAGAGGTGTCCACTGGGCCTCGTCCAAGACGTTGAGGGGGACGTCCGCTTCCAGGTCCACACAGCAGACCATAAACCGTAGCGGGCCAGCCAATTCGGAAGGTCTCCCTTTCGCCTGCGGCCGCTGAAGAGGACCAGGGTTCACGGCCGCTCCACTCGTGTATCCGAAGGGACTTCCAGCCAGGCACCGTAAGGCCGGGGGCCCTTTCGATGCGGCGTGTAGTCTTGGAGGGCCTCGTCTGCCGGGGCACCTGCATCAGCTGCTTGGTGTCCACCGTATTGGTGACCGCCTTGGCCTTCCTCTTGACTCCCTTGGCTGGCTTGTCTCGGCCGGCTGTTGCCCCCTGTGGCGGGCTGGGTTTCAGAGCCGAGCCCGCTGAAGTTCCGCGGTCGGGCGGCGGTGAGGCTGGCCGCGCGGACCCCGGTGTCGTGACCTTCCGCTTGAGGGCTGGCCTGTCGGACGGCGCCTTTGGCGGTTCGGGCTCTGGAGGGCAGCCCGGGGCTTTGGACTGGCAAGTCCGGTCCGCGAGCTCTTGTGGGGTCGCCTTTACGCTTGGGCGCCGCATATTTACCCCCGTGGGTGGTCCCAGGTGGCGAGGGCGCGGCAGTGTCAGCTGGGGCGGCATCCTGTCAGGCTTTGGGGCACTCGGTGGCTGGGTGCGGTCCGAGGCACAAGTTACATTGGTGGGAGTTCCCGTCTCGACATCTGCTTTGCGGTTTCTTTGTCCCACATTCGCTGCCTTGGGCACGCCGGTCGGCGCCCCCTGTCCCAGAACCACTGCCCGGCTGTCTCTGAGAGAGCCAAAGGGTGGCCGGGGTGACAAGCTCACGGGTCCAAAAGCACCCGTCCCGGATGGCCGCGGCAAAGGCAGCATTCCAAGGGCGAGAGGCCGTGTAGCCATGCTCGGGCTTGTCGTGGAGCACTCGCCGAAGCCTCTCCATGTGCTCGCAGCGAAGCCTGTTTTCGGCTTTGTACACCAGCCACCAGGCGTTGTCGCCGAACTGGGTGACGAAGCCTCGGATGTTCTCGGCGTAGGCGTCGAGGCGCTCGGCGTCGGCCACCTCCAAAAGGAGGAGTGCTGTCCTCAGCACTTTCCAGGCTTCCATCCATGCATGGTAGGATGCCGGGCCTGGCTGCTCCTTCTTCGACCATTCCCCTGTCGCCACATTCAGGATGTAGGAAGTAAAGGTTTGCTTCCTCAACAGCCGAAGGCCATGTGGACCGAAGAGGGAGAAGTCGGCGTAGGGGACCGAGCCTGCCGTCACAACTTGACGAAGCGAGGCTAACTGATCGGCCGACGGGTCTGCATCGGGGCTGGGGTAGTCGCCGAACTTGGTCCGGTAGTCCTGGTAGAGCTTCTGGATCTCCGCGTTGCCGAAACTTCTGCGTCCAGGGTCGGGTCGAGGACGGAGGACAACTTCAATCGCCTTGCCCCGGCCGGTGGCGTAGGAGTGGCTGGCCCCGGTCCTGTCACCGGTGTTACTGGCGGTGGCCCGGCAGCTCCCGGAGAGTCGGGCGGGATGCCCATCAGCAGCAGAGACACACGGCGAGTGGACTCGACCCTGGCCTTCTCCACGAGGGTGAGGTCTCGGTCAGGACCAGGCGTGCCGTCGGCCCCAGCTGGCCCCTGCACTTGCAAGCCTCGAACCATGTCGTCCCAGGCCGGTCTAGGGACGAAGGCCAGCTCTCTGACGCGAGCTGGGTCTCCCAGTGCTCCTCGGAGGGCCTGTTCCAAAGCCCCGGTCACTCCCGACCAAGTGAAGACCCCGGCCAGGTTGGCGATGGCTTGCAACTCCGCCTCCGTCGGATCCATTGTTCAGGGTGGGCATATCGGTCCTGGCGTCGAGGCCCTGCGAGCCGCTCGCCTTCGTAGGTTGGGCCATGACTCGGCCGTGTTGCGAAGGGAGTAGGTGCCGAGGTGGGCGAAGGCCAGTGATAGCCGCCGGCGGCTTCTCACAAAGTTCAAGGCCCGCCGCGAGATGGCCTGCCAACGGCCCAAAGAATCACGAAGCTGTGCTGGCGGGGTCCAGCCTGCAGTGGTGTTAGCCCTCTGACGAGTCAGGCAACACCCACAGCAGAAGCCGAAGGCCCAAGCACAAAGGCCCGCAAGGAGTAGGCACCACGGAACCCAGTGGCTCCCGGCAACGACCAGAGGGCCACCCGAGGTGAAGCCACTCTGATCGAAACCAGGAACGACCACCAGGTCCATGCGATGTCCACCCTGTTCCTGGGCTACCCTCTCCAAAAGTCGGGTGTTGCCCTTGAGCCAAAATGGCTGTTGCTCAGTGTGCAAGAACAGACTCAACTAGGGATGCAATGAGGACCAGTATCATCCAGGAGTGAAATTGAGCGACGTGAAATATTCCCCCTTTGTCGACTCCTGAGGGTGGGAGTAGAACATGCACTGATGGATTGTTACGGGGCTTCGGCACCTCACATATATTGCACAACCTATACTCCTCTCTCTCTCTCTCGCTGTCGTTCCGGGTCTTCCCGCTGTTGTTGCTTCACGTACTCACGTCTATCTTGACATGTGCTTTGCCGTGTAAGGACTGAACCCTGGACAGTAGCTGGGCACCCGTTGCTATCGGCTGCTATCGACGTTAAGCTCCCTGCCAACTTGGATCGGGCGTGAGCCTGCAGCTTCGTGGCACAGTCCTCGGACCTGGCTCGACGTGGATAACACGCTGACCAATGGCCATGGCAGCACGGAGCCTCCTCCTCTGAAGGTCAGCGCGAGCCTGTCGAAACTTCGGATTCGTAGTCTGCAGCACGAACCTTCAGAGCTCGCAGGAGCACCTGCTTCGACCGCAGCAACGCTTGCACCTTGACGGCTTAGCGCGAAAATCAGCATGCATACCAATCGCGACCATGGCCGATCGTTACAGAAGTCACAGACAGGCGTGAGGGCTGAGAACATCGCATGACGAGTAAACAGTCGTATGGCGACAAACCTCGGTAGTCAAAGCTGCAAGACAGGCGGCTTTGCAGACTCAGGCCACAAATGCCTTGCAGAAAGGGTCTAGGCGGCCTGCATGCGTCTCCGTACCTTGCCACGCCATGACGCCTGCAGGTCATGATCATCCATATGCTGATGAGCCGATGCGGGCAGAACCGGCCTGGATCAACGTCGTGCTCTTGATCAGCAGCTCCAAACCTTCAATTCAAGCCCGCAGCAGGCTTCTTCAATCGCTCAGCTGCGTACCGTGGCCCAATGTCTCAATATTTTTCGTCGCCGCCAAATGCAGTCATCACATTTCTAAGCATATTTGTTCGGAGTGACTTGAAATCCACTTCAGGATGTGCGGAGACATCGTACAAGATCAGAACTTGTCGTGGTCCAGCAACGTGCAAGTAGCCCAGCCTTATGAATCCGCAGTTCTGCTTCTTTCATCTCTTGGACACAAAATTCTCCCTAAGGCTTGCCAGCGTGTGACCCAACGAAAGCAAACCAGAAATATTCTAGTCGCACCAAACATGCGACTGGAAGATGCCCTGCCAGAATCGAAAAGCGAGAATGTGATGAACCCTCGTGAGCAAGAGCTGAGCAGTGGAACATAGTCAACCAAGAACGGCCGACATGCTTTGTTGAGCCCTACTATCTGCCCGCATTTCTTTGACCACTCGCCCCTCAACCTCCTGTTTCCGCTCGCTGAATCTCTTTCAGAGATCGGGCCTCCGTTTTCGATCCCGTAACCTTCACTGACTCGTCGTTCGATCCACAACATTCCAGAGCATTGTAATGACTATCCACCCTGCTCCAGACCTTGCAGGCCTTACTAGGCTTGGGTCTTGGCCTGGCTTGACCTCGGTTCGTTTCAGCAAGGGGTTGGGGCTAGGGATTGGATCTGCCGGAGCAAAACGAAGACCGCCATCACTGTCGGCAACGTTTTCCTTCACCGCCAGGAGATATCCTCATTGCCGGTGTTAGTGTTACCACGCTCAGCAGCTAATACTGTGGTAACCACAAGTTTGGGCTCCACGGATAAATCAGCCGACAAAGCCGCACGAGTCATCTGGGTTTGCAGGCTTTGGAGAAGGAAAAGTATTGCTTAAACCCACAGGAAGCAGTCTCAAAACGGTGTGGCTCGGAACTTCTTTTGGATCTGGCTTGACTTTCGTCTGGGCTGGGCCTGGCCTGGCCCGCCTGGCCGGGCTTGGCGTGCTTAGCCAGGCATGTCAATGCCAGGGAGCTAATCTTAAAAGTCGCCTTCAGCAGTGGTGTGGTTTGATTTAGGGTCAAACTGCTCTGGACCTGGACCGGTGCATGGTGCCTGCTCTTGCGAACCCCCAGCGCGTTCGAGCTCCTCACAGGCGAACACGCCCCAAACATAGTTGTGTACTGTGCGTTCTGCGCCCCCCCGCCCCAATGGTATGGGTCTACAAGGGCCTGGACCACAGTGGGGGAGGGCGGGCGGGGGTTCTCCTAGCTCCCCTGGAGCACACACATGCCGAAGCACGGAACTGCGGAAGCGGGCTGTCCCGTTCGTGCCACAAACCAGGGGCTAAAGGCGGGGGAAATGAAGTAGAGAAGAGGACACATACCACATGCCACAAGGCAGCAACCTCACACGGGGACAAGAACATATAGCACTTCCTTACCAAGACAACACATACAAAAAGAGAACAGCCTCTGCTCCATGGAAACAAGGCGGAGTATAAGTGGTCCATAAGTGTACGTGTGTGGGTGTGTGTGTGTGTGTGCGTGTGCATGCGTGGGTGGGTGGGTGTATCTGTGTGTTGTGTGTTATGGTCCATATATGTATGTGTGTGCGCGTGTGCAAGCCTACACCGGGTCATAATACACAGGCACATGAGTGTGCGAAATGTATGTATGTATGTATGTATGTATGTATGTATGTATGTATGCATGTATATATGTATGTATGTATGTATGTATGTATAAAGGTGTATATCTATATATGTATATTTGTATATATGTATATATGTATACATGTACATATGATTATATATGTATGCATGTATATATGTATGTATGTATAAAGGTGTATATCTATATATGTATATTCGTATATATGTATATATGTACACATGTATGTATGTATGTATGCATGTATGTATGTCTGAATGTATGTATGTATGTATGTATGTATGTATGTATGTATGTATGTATGTATTCATATGTGTGCCCGTGTGATCCATTGGAACCGAAGATCACGCGATCATACCACTTTTTTAACAGGGCAGCACACACGTTTCCAGAAGCAAAAGAAAAAGAAACCCAGTCCTGTTCCACAGGGGAGGGCTGAGGTTTCCCTTCCTCAATCTGGACCACACACACGGATGGAGAATCACCGGACCAGAAGTGTGTGTGTGTGTGTGTGTGTGTGCGTGCGTGCGTGTTATGGTCTATGTATGTATGCATGTGCTCGTGTGTATGTCTACATCGGGCCACACATACACAAGCACATATGTGTGTGTGTGTGAAATCTGTATGTATGTGGGCGGTTGTGAGAGAGGTTGCACAGGGATGCGGGATGATGTGGTTGCGGGCTGGGCCGAAAAAAAGAGGTATACCCGTGGGTGAATCTCACCCGCAGAACGGGAGAAGGCAAAATTGGCTCCAAATTGTTCGCAGATCGCGCTCACTTTCGCTTCATAAGAGTGTTCTTTCTACCAGCTGAAGCTTGTAGGCAAAAAATTGCGAAAGCCAGGGCCACGAAGCAACGTAAATATGTCGAGGAGCAGCTGCAGAGCAAATGCGCCCACCACATCCTATTAAACATCGCTAACGGCTTGCGACTACGAAGTTAAGTAGAGGGTGCAGTCGAGATGCTTGGGAGTGGGGGTTGGGGCTTGGGCTGGGTCTCTGGGTTGGGGGCCTCGGGCACATGTCGCCTGCGTCTCTACCCAAAAGTCACAATTTGCGAATCCCCTGTTCCGGCTGAATTCGCGACTGACCACCGGTGCTGCTATGGATTTGGGATACTCAGAGTTTGGCAACAGCATGTGGATGTGGCACATGGAGAGGTGAACGTCCCTGCATGCACTCGGGAAAGGGCAAATCGGGGAGTGCGGAAGACCGATCTCATGCCATCTCAAATTTACAAACCACTGAACAGCCACTCTGCCAACCGAGCAGCTCTTGCGAGAGGCCCCCGCTAAAGTGTGGTTTAGTGCAATTCCGAATATTGGCGAAGAGGTGGTGCACAGCTTTGCGATTGATAGAACAAATCTCCGAGCTGTGAAAGTGACCGAGCCGCTTCGACACCAGATCCCGTGCTGCTGCAAAAAAACCTCGCTCAAAGAGAAGCGCCGGAACATCGAAAGGGTTGTCTGGTATGGTCGATATTGATGACGACACCTTCGGCCCCTCGGTCTGATCACCAGAATCAGTGCCTGCGCTTTGCGGCACCAATGGGTTCCAAAGCTGCTTGATTTCGGAAAGGATGGACTCCACATCTGCCAGCCGATTGCCCACTTCCAAACCGAACAGCGCATCCAAATCCAGTGCAAGGCACCTTGCTCTCCGTGGCAGCTGCAAGACCTGAACATGGCCCTCCGCCCACGTGTCCACTGCCTGGTCAAGCAGGTTCCCCACCTCAAAACTGACTTCAGCAAAGCTCTGTAGCCTTAGGACAAGAAAGTCGCGAACATCGGGTTGAAGTGAATCCAATGCTGCCCGTGTAGCACCTCGAACGGACCAAGGCGGAGTCGAGTCCCGAAAGAAAGGGGTAGGAAATGCTTGCAGCAAGCCCAGAAAGTCACTCTTTCGTTTGTGAATCAGAGGTCTGCACAACTGCACGCCATGGATTTGACGCCAAGCCCACATGCCCTCCACATCTCCAAGCACGTGACCCTTCATCAGATGGTCGAGACGGTTCTCGTCCACATCATCTTGATGGTGCCCGAGTACTACCACTGACTTCTCTGAGTTTGACAGAAGAGCGCGGTACATCTTGTATCGAATCTCTTTAGTGGAGCGTTCATAGTCCTCCCTGGAAAGGCCACAAGTACCATGAACATCAGCATGCGGACGTGCCAAATGCACCTCGTACATGAAAAGTTCAACTCCAAGATTGTGGCACACCCACGCGGCCCACAGCTGCTCTGCTTCGACTTCCTCTGCCCGTCGGTTTGGATAGGAAAGCATCAGACACGAAATGTGAGGCATTTGGAAGCGTCGCTTCACAGCGAGCAACAATAGGAGGTGAGCGGTGCTGTCCACACCACCGGAATACGAGAGCAATACGTGGCTTTCCGGTGTCATTAAGGAGCGCCTCTTCAACTCACAAAGCAGCTCTTGACACAGCGGATGAGAGACGAGTTCATCCCAACAGTCCGAGCGGCTGGCCCAGGCAAGACAATTTGGAGACACCGAGCCACAGCTGTCCAGACATGCACTGGCCAAACAAACTGTAGCAAATTGACCAGATGGCCTCGAGCCATCACAAGATACTTTCCAAGGGGTGTGACTTTCCAAAGCCTCACGAACATAGGCTTCAGACTCCAGCTTCACCAGAACTTCGGCGTTCCGCAGCCGAAATGCATCTACGACGTCCAGGTGGGTCGAACTCAGCTCGTCGAGGAGACGCTGCGCAGTTCGTACGTCATCCAGATTTTGGGTATGTCTCAGGACAAGCGTGAAAAAGCAAACTTGTGCTTCTGTAGCACCCATTGCCTCCATAAGGTCGGCACTCGTCCTCTGAACTTGTAGGATGTTGTCGGCAAGTTCGCGCGCCATAGTAGAGCAGTGGGCAATCTGATCCTCCACCTTGCTTGCTTCCTCACTTTGCTGGCCTTTGCATCTGTCCAGCGTTGCACGTTGGTTGCGAGATTGCTGGTCTAGAAATATTGCCAACAGAAATTGCGATGCCAAGTCTAGCCTTTTCAGACAAGGGCCAGACTCGGCTTCATGAATCCGCTGGGCAGCACGCAGAGGCCCAGAGAATTTCTCACAGAGTTGTTTGAACAGCTTGCGATCTCGAGGACGCTTTGCTCCAAACCAAAAGCTTTGCACTGAATTTGGCTGTGCTTCGTCGGGAAACCAGACACAGTGAAATTCGCGCACTGCTTCCAACAAGAAAGAGCACTCTCCAGAAACTGCGGCACCAGCCATCGCGCATCAGGAGCACGCAAGCTGTCCATAAAACGCGTTAAGTCAAGTGAAATGAAACGTGATCCACCCCAAAAGCCCAAATATAGCAGATGACCAGAGGCAAACAAATGCGGATCCGAGCAAGCACTTCGCACTTTCTTTCTTAGTAGAACTCTGACAGCTGTTAGGAGCATGCTGCAGGTGCTGCATGAGCCAACCCGAATCAGCTGAGGCAACTCAACTTGCAAAAGTCCGAGGTGCGGACGAGCAAACTTTACACGTTCCTTGTCTTGCCACATGCCACACTGTCCCCCGAAGCTACTGCATCTGCTGACAATTTCACAACATGCTCCACTTGGCAATTGCAGCCCGGTCACGTAGGCTGGCAGCTTGAAGAAAACCAATGTCTTGCCAACTGCCCACGACTGGCCATGCCTAGAAAGGCGACCGCTGCACACCAAACAAAAATTGCACACCCCCCCCCCCCGCCGGCTTGCATGCTCACGGCATCTTGATTTCGCAGCTCAGCTCAAACTTTGCGATTTTGCTCTTTTGGCATTTTTGGCCCTCAAGTCACTGAGCCCTTGCAAGGTTTGCAACTTCGTTCAAGGAGGACTGCACGTCGAAGTCCATAGGCGAACGACTGTCAAAATGCTGCAGCCGCAGTCCGCAACCACACACACACACACACGTCGCCAACGACTCGACTGAAAAACCTAGCCGTCTGACATCTTATGGTTGCGGAAAGTAGTCGACTTGGAGCTGTACTCTGCACCAGTTAAGATTTGAAACAAGGAAAAGCCATGAATGAAACTTCGTCTGGCTTGGCGGATGCTCTTGCAGATGATGTCTGTTCGCGGTTTTTTAACTCTTTGGGCATGATAAGGGATTTAATCAGGAGTCCACATCTGTAACGCGTGCCTTTGGCGCGATGCCAAGCGGACCCATTCAAGCAGCGTTATTGTAAAGAACCTCTGCAAAGTAGGAGATCTCATGAGGAAGCCGTGATTTTCGAGCTGGGTCGTACGCGAGGTCCGAGTCTTTCTCCCAGACTCTAGGAGTGAGAAACAAATCGAGGACATAGGAATGGGATCGGGCTTCCAGAGTCATGGTAGAATTCAATGATTTCAGCAATACGGGAATCTCTCGAACCCATTGTTCTCACAGAGCTTGTAGCAACGAGAAACACCAATCATCTGTCACAGCATGCAGGACTAAGCTGCTGGAGTTACCTGTATTTCCAAGGATGCCGAGTCACAAAACCAGGGCTAGGGAAGCACCACTCAAAAACCGACACGAGGCACACAGCGATCTGTTCATCGACTCAGCTGCCGTCGACGATCGCGGCTCTTTGCGGCAATAGATATGAATATACATAGTATGTGTGTATATTTTTTGGGCGGCCCTATGCAACTCTCACGCAGCGTTCCTCCTAACGTACAGTCTGTGAGTAGATTGAAAAGGAGTTGGCTGTGAGGAGTGTCTTGCACGTTGGCAGCCTGACTAGGTTACTCCAAAAGAGGCGGTCTACAGCTAGTCTGTGAGCTTGTAGATAAGAAAACGGGAAGGTAGGGCTTTGGGTAGGAGGTAGCCGGGAGGATTTTAAAGCCAGTGCCAAAGTAGCTTGGTACACTGTTCTGTCCAGTGGACTCTTCTCCTACCTGGCCTAAGACCTGCTCCTACCGTTCCCCCTCTGTACTGAAATGCACGTGTAAAACAGCAGTTCCGTTCTATACTGGTCGGATGGGATCGACGAATGTGCCCGTAAAGTTTCAGCTGTGCTCTGTGGACGTGATGAGTGATGGGGGGCTGTTCAGTGAGAGCTCGTATCTCTTGGTTGGTGTAGGTGTGAGCTGTGGGCTCCAGGATCTGCGTGTAGTAGGTGCTTTTGATGTGAAGGATTTTCCTGAGGCTCTGTGAGTGAAATGCCTCGAGTCTGTTGTAGTCGCCAATGGTCATCGCTGCTGATTCGAGGCCATATGTGATGAGTGGAATGAACACTGCATTGTATATCCTCAGCTTCCACTTCAGTGTGAGAGCCGTGTTGCGCCAGAATTGGTGCAGCGAGTGGAAATGTTTGCGCGCCTTGGCCAGGCGTGTGAGAATGTCTTTGTGGTGGAACCGTCGCTGCTGAGGATGACACCAAGATATTTGGCGTGTTGTTCAATGGGGACGGGCGTGCCGTCTGTGAATGTGACTGTATTGTGTGAAGTGGGGGACCTTAAAAGTACGCATTTCTTGAGGTTAAGTCGCAGGTTGCTGTGGGATGCTACAGTTTGTAGCGTGTGGAGTAGCTGTTCTGCTCTGGAGGCTGTGCCTGCTAACAGAGCTGTGTCGTCTGCGTAGGCCAAGTCGTAAAAGGATTGGTTTTGACTGTATAGCCAAGGGAGGGAGCTCGGCATCCACATCGTGCATGATCATACCATGGACCACCAAAAATAGGTATGGGGAAATTTATGTGTGTATATACAGACATATATGCAGAAATTTAGAAACGGATCCTTGTAGAAAGGACTGGCGGCAAATCAAGGCAGCGAAAACCGCGCAAACTGCAGGTTGGTCTTGTGAATTTGTTGGGATCAAGACAGAAGCTCAAAACGAAAGTTAGCAGGCGAGTGATTCCATGATTCCTGTTCGCTGATTTCTCTCCAAGTCGCTGGCAACTGGCGATTCCGCCCAGTCCAGAACTGCCAATAGATTCAACAGGTAAAGTAGGGAGGAATCAGAAATCAAAGACTTCATCGAACACCTACAGGGGCTGGCAGGTTTGCCAATCTCGTTAACACGAATTTTAGAAACAAATCACTACAAGCCGAGTGGGTGCCCAAAATCTGGTGCGAGAAGCGAGCAATAGGACAGGACGAAGTTGACTTCGAAAACTGCACTCAGTCTCCAACTTTGGCTTTGGGATGTTCAATTCTGCATCCAGGTGCTCCAACAACTTCTGAGCCTGCACGTGAACTCAAGCTGTCGAGGCACAGGAGTTTTCAGAAACGTACTCATTCGGAAATGCAGAGACACACGGAATACGCAAACGAAGGCTGTAGCTGGCTGGGCTCCAGGCTCGAATCTTGGGGTCCTGCACATCCATCCACGTGCCGTGGAATCGCGCCCCCGATGCTTACACATGCCACTTGCGGTGCTTGGAGCAGCTTCCAACAACTCTCTGTGTCCTGCAAATGTCGAAGCTCCGAGATGACCTTTGGCAAACCCACAACCTTGTAGTCATCCCAACACTCCTGCACAGCTCAGGTGGAAGGCAAATCTCACACCTTGGCTCTTCACTCCCCGATGTCCTGGTGATTAATCCGGACCGGATAGCCTGCCCGACCTGGGAAAACACTCTTTCTACCTGTGTTGCTGACATTCGTTGCACGTTCCAAGCCCAAGCACCCCGAAGGGCGCACTCTACTTCAAAGATGGCCGGACGAGACCGAATTCTGGGTGGGAGAACTGATGCCGGAGATTCCGAGAACTTCCTGTGACTTTTTGTTTCCCGACTACTGTGCAATCGCAACACTTTAGGCCGAGTACAACCAGAGCAGACCGTTTTCAATCCACTCCGCTCGAGTAGAAGGCCGACATGAGACGGAAGAGTCGAAAAGCAGGCAACACATGGCAGCATCAAGCGGTGCCGAACGACTGACGTGAAGCTACCGCTAACTGCCAAGAACACAAATTGCAAGCATGAAGCTGCATGAAGCTGCTCCCCGGACTGCAAACCAGAAGGGTGCGAGATTGCAACCGGCCAATGCATGGACCGAAAAGGCAGGAAGACTACCTGGCTCACGGCTGGCGACTTGCCAGACTCGCACATCGAGCGAGAACAGGTCCTCCTGCTGACGCTCTCAGAGACGATAGAGACTGACAGTCGGAGCTGAGCAAGCAAGCGAGCTCGAAAAGCCAGCAGATGCATCTATGTTGTAGCGAAGCTCCCATGGCAGACAACAGCTACTCGTCTCGCAAGTGATGCAATGATGCGAGACTCAGAGCCCAGCTGACTTGGACAACTTGCAAGACACCACCATAGCGCAGCTGCTCGGTGACACCCTGCCAGCCAATAATTATAGTAATTATCTTTAAGACCCCATAGATCGAGCAGACCCTGGAAAGCCTTTCTGTCGAAAAGGTCTGGCAGGTTCTGTGGGTTCGGCTTGATGCCTGGGAGAAGAAAGGGAATGGCGTCAGATCTGGAATTTGGCACTGCATGAAGCACATAACATGATGGCATTGGGCAAAGTGCCCTGCTTACCCCTACTGCGCCCACAAAACTATGCCATAGCTGTAGAGCGCCAAAGGGCATCTGATAAAGTGGGGCTCGGTGAGATCCACGACGTCCTCCAAAAATTGACCAAACTCATTGCTGAAACAAAATGAAGCAAATTCGCAACCGGCGGCGGTTGGACTGCACACTGGCTGAGCTCCGTGCCATGAGGCTGGAGAGCTGCTCCTTGAACTCTGACGACACCTGATTCCGCAGTGGGCCATGATGGCCATGCTGCCAACACTTTCATGTTTGTGGCTCTGGCTCGAAGGATTTGTCTGACGATGCAGCCTGCACCTGTATTCCTGCTGAGCACACGGCAGTATACTTCTTCTTTTTGCCGCCCTTGGGCTGATCCTGCAAGCCATCAGAATTCCGCCCGCATGTGCCAGCTGCAATAGAACACGCAAAAGATCGAACCCTTTTCCTGCAGCAACGCTGCTACGGGAGGTGAGACCCTGATCCGTTGGACTTTAGGAACACGGTACCAAGTCGAAATTACTCAGCAATGCCTCGAGGTTCCTCGAGACTGGCACTTCCCGCTCCGCCCTCTTTCACCCCGTGGCCAATCTCCGCTGTAGCTGTTATTTCCCGAAGCGCGGCATCATGGCGCCGGGTGGGGGATGGAAGCAGGTAGTCTGTAACGTTCAAGATCTCCGGATGTTCGGCTATCTCCCTTGGCGTTGCGCACATCATCACAGGCACATTGATTCGATGCAGTGACCTGCAGTAGAGTACGGGATCCAGACACAAGATCATGTCATAATGCTTGGGAGCGCTTGAAATTGTCTTCTCGTCCACAACTCCAGTGTCGAAATCCATTCCCTCGAAGCGGCCCTTCCAGTCGATGCCAAACTGGTTCTTGTTGCCCAGGATCAAGACTTTGGCGTGGTTCGCTTTCATGTGTTTCATGAGTTTGAAAGCTCTCTTGTAGTGCATGAGCATGGAGTATGGGTCCATCAGGTAGGACTTGGTGATCTTGTTCGCTACCCGCTTCATGCCGAAACCGGGCAGCCCGCATGCACAGACCTAGTCCCTAAGCTACTCATGCCCATCTGAGCCACGCAGCTCTGGTACAAAAGGACAAGTGGGACGACCCTGCACTCTTCAGCCGACCAAACGCTACGCAATTCTCGCGTGAAGAACCCGACCTCCCCAGAGTCAGCTTCAAACAACATAAACAACGTCCTCCTCTTTGGCGAAAGCCTCCGCGAATTTGGGGTCCTTCCGGAATAGATTCGCGACAAACCTCAGGGGAGCACCCAATCATGCGCGGGGTTGTCAAACCTCATCTAGAGTCGGCCACTTTGCTTCTTGGATGGTTTGCCCATGCCGAAGGAACATCTACGTCCACCACCCCCCCCCCCCGAACAACCAAGCGCGCGACTGGTTTGAGCTGTTTCCGACGCATTCGATAAGATCCTGGCCAGGCCACATGTGTAGACAGTTTTCCCAATTTCGGCACACTCACACAAGCAAGCATGCCCGAGTCTCCACCTGCAACACCTTAGGCTTGTTTTCTTCACAACACGTCATCATGTCGGCACCATTTTCCACACTGGCTGTCGAGTCTGCCCAGGTGTCAATGTGAAATAGACCTACAGGGGGTCCTTCTGCATCTTTGAGAAGAGGGCAATGTAAGCTGAAAAGCTGACGATGCGAACTCGAACCAACCTGATGAAAACCTGGAGATGTGCTGGCATGTCTACATGTCTCCTTCGAGCTCATCAAGGAGATCCAGGATGGCATCAGAGTCAGGGTGCAGCACGTCATCGAGATCATCGTTTTGCGGAGGTTCCTGCATTTGCGCAGTCGGACTGACGGGCCCGTCCGCTTTTCCAGGCTCTGAGTGTGGCGATGTCACGGCTTGTCTTGACGAGCTTGGCGACACAGGGCGGGCGGAGTCGGATTCCGGGGAGTCCTGGACACACGGGCTAGGGGGCACAGACGGTGCTCTCCTTGCAGGTCGGGCCCTTGTTCGAGTAGTGCCTGGCAGCTGGAATGGGCTTGGGGGCGGGACGAGCGGGCCCCGGCGAGGGGATCCTTCCTTCCGTCGAACCTTCGAGGAGGGCGGAAGTTCGGGCGCTTCACCTGATTCTCTTGGCGGCACGACCTTGGCTGCACGCCTCGCCTTCCCGAACCCAGCTGGGACAAAGTCTGCATTACTTCCTGCAGTGTCTGTAAAGCCAGCTCTGAACTTGTGTGAAGCAGAAGCAACTTTCGGACACCATCGCCTGATTCGTGAAACTTTATGATCAAGATCCCGCCTGAGAAATGCCTGAGGTGTTAGGCCTCTCTTTTTGGAAATCGGCTCCCGGCTTCGAACAGAGGCGGCGAGTCTCTCGACCCAATATTTCTCCTCCTCTTCAGGACTCAAGACTTCCGCAGCTGGCCTATGACATCCCAGCAAACGACTGGTAAGTTTCATGTCTTCCAGAAGCCTGACACAATCTCCCGGAGACGGTAGCCGAACATGGGCAACTGTCGTGTTGGGTATGTAGTCACAATAGACAACTGTCACAGCATGCTCAACATATTGACGGATGCAAAGTACGTTCTCAGCATCAGAGAACCCAGTCAGTCTCACAAGGCATCCAGGTATCTCAGACCCAGGTGGCTTTCGTCTGGCTGCAGCTTGCGGGGCTTCGGTGGCTTCAGGGCTCACGTCTACGGAATGCGATGGCTCGGTGTTGCCAGAGCCCTCAGCCACATCCTCTTGCACGGCTTCTCGCTTAGTAAACGTTGTCTGGAACGATGGGCCTTTGACTGCTTTGTAAAGCGCATTGTAATCACCTGGCAGAAGGCATAGAAAGACATGAAAAAAACTTGTCTTAATCTCATTCAAGACCGACCTGGCCATGGGTTTTGGGAACTTGGACGGGAAAAAGGGCAGTGCAGCCGGGCATCGGCGCTCGCGAAGCCAGTCGGCTTTGAACATCAACTGCAAGGTCTTTCCGTCGTGACGCTGTGGCCATGTCGATGGCCATGGAATACCATTGCAAGCAGCAAGTGCTGCTTCGGCGTCCTGCCCGAAAGTCACTTCGTGATTGTTCAAACAAACGTCGCACGACCCATGTGTGAATACTGTTCTTTCGCATTCTTCCGCGGAGCGGTCCCTAGGACGCGCTTCGCTGAGCATGCTGCCGCTTTTGCTGTGACAACAAGACATCGACAGCTGTCAATTGACAGACGGCACAATGCGTCGAATCGAACAACGGAACATGCCAGAGAGGTCGCAAAGTCCAGGGGGTTTCGGTGCATGCAGTTTCGCCATCAACACCTCTTGGAACCTGCCGGTCGCTCTAGTGCACGGTCGCCGCTTTTACGATTCGACCACATTCGATCCACGCTCAGAATCTGCACACCATCTGCAAACATCTAGAAGGGGATGCGAACACACATGTAAAGCCTCGACTCGATTGGCCTGTCGTTTAGAGTTTGGAGCAGCCAGCATGAAATCCCCGCGGTTTTCGACAATCTTATGTTTCGACTCTCCCTCACACTCGGCACTGCCAGGCAGGGACACAGCGACAGCTGGGGATGCTTCCAGCAAATCACAGCTTCAGCCACCCAAGCAATTCAAGCCAAGCCCCACAAAAGCCTCAGCCAAGCTGCAGCACGACTCGAGTTCCGGGACCTTTGCAAAGGCGCCAAAACGGATGCCGACATCCTACCCAGACTAGCGTGTGCCCCGTGCTGCAAAACACACATGCAAGTAAGCTCCGTTGGAACGATTGTCAAACATTGCTCTGAGCCGGAGAGCATCTTAAACAAGGTCTACTCAAGCTCCGACGCATGTCGTCCACCCGGCAAACCTCAAAGTCTCAAAGTTTCGGTATTCACTTCAATTAATGTTCGAATGCGCTCAATTAGCTGTGTTACCCTTCTCTGGGGTCCTAAGATTTCCAGCACACTCGTGCAGCGAACTCCCTGCCATGAGGCATTATCTTTGGATTTAGTGCTGTCCTGACAAGCAGACAGGCACACACCATTGCAAGAGCTTGCCCTGTACTGTTACTAGACTATCGGGGAGCACACGTTCCAAAGAAGTCTCATCCATCACTAGGCCAAGTCTAAACGGCTATCGTAGCCTCAGTAACAACCCACAGACCGACTGGCTGAAGCAGTTCGGCGATCACACTTTCGTGGAGCCAAGACGACTTGCCACATGAAGGGAGACGCGGAGGGACCAGGCAGGTGAGAAAAGTTTTTCTGGCTCTCTCGGAAGATCTCTCAAGAACCAAGGGGACCACCTCCTGCGCATTTATGGGTGCGCGGTTGAGCTCATTGGCTTGTGGCTTACTTAGAGCACTCTTCTACTGCTCTTCTTCTTCTATGCCCTTGTCAACATGACAATGGCGACTCTCACGATCGTTGAGAGCTAGCACTTTGAATCTGGTCAGCACTCTCGAGCTACAGTCCGATGGCTTCAACTTTCTGTTGCTCGACTTGTGTCTTGTTCCTTGGCGGTTCCTGGGTGTGCCCAGCACGTGGGAATGTCTCTTAGACATCAGCTTTGGTCTTTGCATACAGCAATGCAGGCTCCTTCACAGACCCGAACTCGATGAGGCAGAAGCCACGAGGCTCCCCAGTTTCACGGTGGTGCGGAATCTGTACAAGCTTCACCTGCGGGCCAGCACACGGACAATTTGCCGTCGAAGTGCAATCAAGGTGCGAAGTAATGGATCAATTCCACCTACCTCCCCGTGCCGAGAGAAGATCTTCTCAATGTCACGGATGCCGAAGGTTATTGGCAAACCTGTGGAAAGGTGCGGACATAACCAAAAATGCCTGATCCGAGTGAGATCTGTTGTTGAAACCCCCTACAACAGGTCCGGACAGTTTTCGCGATGTCTACTGCTGAATACCGCATTCCAGGCATAGGCTAAGCTCTCCCGAGTGGGGGAAAGAAAAACTTACGACCAACATACCACTCTCTCCGAGAAGAGCCAAATCTATGCCTTGTGCTTCTGTGCCTGTTAACCTGAACCGAAAGGTTGCATGCTAAGGAAGCACAGGCTACACTCCGCTGCTGACGCATTCTCGCTCTTTGAGTTTATTCCGTGCCTGCTACCGTGAATGTCCGCTACTATCCACTCTCGGTCTCTTTGTATGAGCTACGGCTAGGACCTTCCGGATTGGGAGTGCCGACGTCTATGGCACAAGTCACTCTCTGGGGGCCCGATCCTACAGGCACGGGTCTGACTTGCTTCAGGAACTATCACGACGGTAAAGCACATCGGCATCACGATTCGCCTTCTGCATAAAGCGTCCTGCACACTGGATCGTGTGTATTCGGCGGGAACTTGATGTAATCTCGCCTCCGGCGCAAATCGGAGAGGAGACAAGGCCGCTTGCTGACAAGCCACTTCTGACTGCACCTAGCCGACTTAGCCTTAGAAGATCTTAGATCTTCTCGCCACGTTTAGTCTCGCCTCACTTTGGTGCAGTCGGCATTGAGCTCCAAGAGCTGAGACGAACGAGCTGCATCGACGAGCTGGTCGACATCACTGACACCCAAGGCCTCTGGAGAAAGCGACAGGGCAGAGTCAAGCGCCGAGTGTGTAATGCACATGGCTTCTGGATCCATGGGGCCTTGATGCGATTGAAGGTCAGCAGCAGCTGCAAGTCCAAATAACCATCATCATTTTCAAGCGTCTGCTTCAGGAAACGGTCGCGACGCAGGTTCGAATCGCTGAAATAAAAGTCCTTACTCATGCATCTTCTCTCACAGAGATGTGGATTCGAAGAGTCGTTCCAAGCCGAAACAACGGATGTCAAGTCTCCATTTGTTTTCTCACTTTCTCAAGCGAGCAGGTCTCCTCCTCTTTGCCTCGGCTCCGCTTTAAAGGAAAAGCCGTCTGTCTGCACTGTCTGCACTGCTTCGCTTTGGGGTATATGATGGGAAGCAGGCCCTCGAGAAGCTGCTTCTCAACCTCTTTGGCCTTATCCTTCTTCGGACGTCGCTTTTGACCCTGTCTGGCACCACCCTTTGCACCACCCTCCTGGCAAACCAGCACTCAGGCGATAGGACAATACTCTCCATGCAGGACACACTACGCTGTCGGTCCTGTTTGGGCCGACCCTGTGAAGAAGCCCGCTCCTGAGGCAAGCAGAACGTCTGTGACCTCTCCCCATGGGTGCGAGAACTCTCGGCCTTGCTTGCTTCCACACTGGGTGGGGCTTCACTCGCATTGCTTTTGCGGCGCTTGTGGCGGTTCCGCTTTGCCATGAAAAGCGCAGGATCAAACCAACCTGTAGCACCTAGGGCAACTGCCCAAAAATCACTGCTGAATCTCCTTCGACTGAGGTCTTTTAACTTCTGGCGGAAATGGGCAAGCAGAGCCTTGAATCAAAGATTCCTTTGTGATCAGTCAGAGTCGGTATCGTGTGAGTCTGAAGAGCAGTGCCTGATAGCTCATACAAGTGGGCCCACCGTCTGGGGAAGCTTTGAGCATCGGAGCTGCAGCTCCACAGGAAGACTCAAAATTAGTGTCTTCCCGGCAAGCCTTGCCCTGTGCAGATGCAAGAATCATGCAGGGCCAGCATTGCTGAGCTGATCTCGGTTCTTGTCCAAGAAGGAATCCGTGCAGTAGCTGACAGGTCCAGCCTGCCGACAGCACTGAAACACCTCGATGCTAGCAGACAGAACATTGAAGCTGAACTTGTGACACCAACCATGACAGAGCGACGAAGTGCTTGATGACAAACCTGATCTTGCGCAGGTATGTACACTGGACGGAACAAACAGCCCGGCTGGCAGAAGCTGCTGTTCTTACCAAGGCTCCAGGTGGGTTTTGTCTTGATCTCATCGAACCTGCGGTGGCCTGAACGTATTGCATCGCTCTGGCACGCCCTTGCCCGACCAAGCCTTTTGCTTACAAGCCAAGCCGAAGCTTCACTGCCGAGCCTTTATGCTGTTTGATCAACTTGTTGCAGTAGCCTGCTGCAGTCGCTTCTGCAGGAGTTGCGTGACAATGCTGCATGTCATCGGCATCGAAAGCCAATTCCTGCACAGCTCCTGTAGCGCATCTTTTTGACTTTGTATCACGCCGCAATACGCCGCATAGACGTCACGTCCCACTACAAGACTTGACTGTATCGTATTCCTGGAAGGTGCAAAGCCAATGAGCAGGAGTGGCGAATCGAACCTAAATCTCCAACAGCTAGAGGCAGAACCTCTGCACTGCATATCTGCACAAAATCCGTCAAGTCCAGTCACTCGCAGAAGTTATCCACAAGCTCGGTTTAACTTCCGGGCCCTCCAGTTTCAGCATTTGCTTATGAACAGCTCGAGTAAACAATGTTTTGGCATGGGCACAGCTCAGGCATAGCTCAGATTCAACTGCCACGTGAAACATTGGAGGGCCTCCTGATGTACTTTCTTGCTCCCGGACGACTCGCTAGGCAGAGCTGCACGAATGGGCCCGCAAGTTTCTTGCCAACTTGGCTGCCCTACCACCAGTCTAAGCAAACACTGTCCAAAGCCCTCGGGCCATCAGAATGCCGCATCGAGTGGCCGATTGAAGCCACCACGACGGTTCATGTACTGACGGTACTGGCCTTGATACCACAATCGGTGACAAGTGGACTTCGCGTGCGACGCAAGCGCTGTCAAGTCACGCTTTGTGGCCCGCTTGACATCGCTGAGGTCGCTGGTGCCTGAAGCATTGAAGCATGTCTATGCAAGTACCAGGATGCAGGAATTTTCGTTGCTCATGGTCGCACTGAGTGCCGAGATCCTGACTGTGGTCTCTGCCTTTGGAGCTATCGAACGCACTGAACCCCATCATCTTTGACAACATCTGATCCTGCGGGCACTGCTGGCACTGCTGGCTTGTCTAGGCCACACCGTCTTTGCCGAAGTAGGATCAAAGCTCGAGTGGTCTAAGGACCAGAGACGGATGGAGCCACTCTAAAAATGCTGCTTCCTCGGGCATGTCCGTGCTGAGCAAGAACTCCTTCATTTCCTGATGCGACGAATTTCAATTACCGCTTAATCCATCTGAACACTGCAGGCGCCACACTGGTGTCCCTCGCCTCCTCGTCATCCGACGATTTTGACTCTGAATCTTCCGACTCAGAGCCTGATTGCAGGTCTCTGAGGCGGCTGCAGCTTAATACCGGGGTGCCGTCCAAGGCACGGCCACGCTTTGGGGGTGGCTTCCGCTCGGCCGAACGTTCCTTGCGCCTCTCTTTGCTGCGACCGCGGCTGCGACCACGCTCCTGCGAGGATGCTTTGCATTGCCCCACAAGCCAGGCAGCTGCAAGGCAAATCCTTTCGTTTGTCATCTTTCCGCGTCTTCTTCTCCTTGCGACGCGAGTCTACTGTCTATTGTCGCAGAGAAGACAAGCTGAGATCACCTTGACACGGCGATCGCTCTCCGAGCTTTCTGAAGAGTCACGACCCTTGCGTCCCATCTCTGGGCGAAGTCACCTGATGTCCAGCAACACAGATATAGCTGATGCACTCAAAGACGATGCTCACGTGGATGTGCACACCGGTCGGGACATGACCTCTAATGGTTCCTCCGAGAAGGACAGAAAATGTATGTTTCACAAGTCACTTGGTTTTGTTTTAGAGCTCTGTGAAAAGCTGTCCTCCATCGGGACGGAACTGGCGAGGGCCTGATATACCCGAATGGTCCACATGTTTGATTGCTCAAAGGACTCCTCAAAAGTGTCACCAACGGAACTGTTGAGCTCGAGCAGGGACCTTGTTCAGGCTCCGTCAGAAATGAAAACCAGCCGAAATTACATGGTGGAAGGTTATAGCAAACTGCTATCAGCACATTCCATGAAACCGGACCTGTGGTGTGGCAGTTCCCGAGAGAAAAGTTCCCAACGGTTAGCCGGGCACGCGAAATTTCTGAAAAAGTCGGCTTCAAGCTATGCCTTGGCAGCGATGGCTTGAGCAGAAACGCGGCCCTGTCGCCACTCTGAGCCTCAAGTGGCTGCGGCGGCCGCAAGCGTCTGAATTTAAATCGGCCCGCATCCCCTTGCCTTGCATGTGCAACGAATTCGATCACGCACAAACATCCGTAAGGACTGTGACAGCCGGGCCTTGATCGGACCCGTTTGGCACGAGGCACTCTTCATCCAACATAGCCTAACTTGAGGCAGCGGCATCGAAGCTACGACTCAACAGTGCAAAGGCAACCGTTTGACAGAGGGCTGTGCGAAAACACCCGTTCCTTTCCCCGCCAGCAAGTCTACGGAGTCCTGATGAAAACGTTCTGCCGGCCACTCATAGAGATTCTCGGAACAAAGACCTGCCTGATTGTCTGGGAAATCCAGAGCATCCCATGGAATGTTCTCGCGCCTCAGTCGCCGAGTCCCCGCGTCTCCACACAGATCTAATTGATTGGGGCGGGGGGATTGCCGATAGAGCCTGGAAGGCTAATGTTTCAGCTGTCGCAGCACGGACGTGCTGAAGATCTAAGTAAAGCACGAGATTAGTCACATGCTGCCGGACGAAGGAAAAGAACTCTGGCGCGAAAGAACCACTACACAATCTCACGAATTCAACGCTTGTTTTGCTCTGGTTTCAATTGCTGTTCTTCTTCTTCTTGTTCTTGATTTTGGGCGCTTGAGAGAAGTGGGCATGCAGACTCTTGCACCCGAGGTTCACAGGTCGGGCATCCTGTCCTCAGCGGGCGACTACATCTTCATCAACTGCACACATTCAATCGGAAGCTCTATTTGAGTCATGCACGGCGAGACAACAAATCCTGCATATGTGGTGCAGCGCTGCCAGGCGCCATATCCCTCCCTCCCCGACGCTCCCCTCCTGTAGTTCCCTGTGGTGTGGGTTCCCCCGCCCCTTCCCTCTCCCCTCTCTTCTGCGGATATGGTTGTGGTTAAGGGCAATGAAGCGTAGAGCTTCTTGCATGCTCGTATTCTGAGTAGGATTGTTTCTAGTTGTTCTAATGCTGTTCTGCGCTTAGGTTCCGAATGTTGGTTGCTTGTCGTTTTATACAGCAGCTTGCTTGGCTTGCTGCTTTCTCGTGTTTTCGATCGGCCCAGGCATGGCAGTAGCACTAACTCAGGCAGCAACCTGAGTGACAACAACAGCAACAGCACAGCTGGACGAAAAGGCAAAGCATGGCAGCAACATAATAAAAGTAGGAGCCAGTGGCATAAAAAGACCAATCATGTCAGTCATTAGCGCTCATCTCATCATCATCGTCATCGCCATCATCATCATCACCATCATGATCATGATCATCAGCGTCATCGTCCTCAGCATGATCGTCATTATGTTCATCTGTGCTGGGAGGGGGGAGTGACTTGTGCGAAAAACGACCGCTAAGTTGCGAAGATTGCGCAAAGGTTGCACACAAACCTCGACAGTTGAACAGGCGTGTGACGGTTTGCTGGGATGAGAGGCCTGGCTTGGCGGAGGGGAGGGTGCACAGGGGGGAGGGAGCGCCGTTGTTCCTGTTCTAGCTGTTCTTGCCGTCGATGATGTTGAACTTGCTACTGCTACTGTGCATACAGACCAAGACCAGCTTGTCACATAGTCCTGAATAGTCCATCGCTGGGGGGGGGTCGGGGTGGCGGGGGGGACGACTGACGCAGCACGGGACCATATATGAGCGTGATGGTTGACACACCGCTGCGGGGAGTCGGTGCACCCGGAAATACCCGGAACCGGGACCTTTATCAGATGAGGCTGGCACTCGTACAGCTGCTCTTCTAACTTGAAGACGAAGGAGTTGAAGAATTGCTGCAGCCTGATTCCAGGTTGCTAATATGCTGCAGCATGGCAAAGCAAACGAGAGCCTTGTCAAAGCTACACACATGCAGTGTCTAATAGATATTGCTGTGAAAGCAAATCGACAGATCTTGCTCGAGCCTCTCGTTGGTGAAATTGATGCACAGCCTTGCTGGTAGAATCCCACATCGGGAGCATGACGCGCTGTCTCTTGCTGGGGGTAGCCCTTGCAGGCTCCAAGCATTACGCAATTAATGCCACGAATCCTACCCCCGAGCTCTTGCTGAGGCTGGCTCTGCTCAAACGAATTCATCTTAAAGCACTCGAATCCGAAGATATCCAGGACTCCTGCACCGAATGTCTCGGCTGCACATGGAAGCTGAAACAAAGAGAAGCATCCGCTCCTACGAACAGCTTGACGTCGTTGATGTAACCGATAGACAGGTTCGTGCTGTGGACCTTGGCCACATATGCCGAGAACGTCAGCGAACACTGTGTCTCTTGCTGCAACACCTGCATCTGTGACCACTAAGTGGGATGCGATGAAATTGAACACGATTCCATACAAAGCCTTCGCCAGTGCATCCCGGTTGTCCGCCGCCTCGCATTGAAGGAGTTCTGTCAAGCACAGGCAGCAAGCAGCCCGGTCTCCACCCATCCGAAGTTCCAAACTGCAGCAGCCTGCCGGACGTTGACAGGACTGCGGATTTTCTCTGACCGCGTGATGCGCGTCTGATGGCAGAGCGCTTTCTCCAAATCCTGCTTGCAGCATGTCCGTGTGCTGCTTCTGTCTGTCTCTGTGTCTGTCTTTCTTCCAGAAAAACTCTGTGAGAGGGAGTGTCTTGTCTCTGTCTGGCTGCCAAACTGCCTGCCTGCCTACCTGCCTGGCTAGCTGGCTGGCTGTTGGTCGGTCGGTCGTAGGGTCGGTGGGTCGTCACGGGGTGGTTGCTCGTCGCTTGGTCGCTGGGTCCGTGGGTCGCTGGGTCGCTGGGTCTTTGGGTCATTGGGTAGGTCCAGTGGGTCTGTCATGGTCGCTCTGTCTGGTCGAGGGCGTGCCCCCTACAAAGCTGAAACCCGTGGAATAAATCTGCGACTGCTGCACGGTCCCCGCTCTGGATGCCCAGCAACTTCTCGGCAGCAGCTAGATGGCTCGCACATTCCTCAGTACCATGCAGTAGATGCAGCAAAGTCACATCTTAGGCATTTCGACAACAAAGCTTAGCGGCTTATGTAGCGCTTTTCCAGCTAAGCCGTGTGCTGCCATGATCATTGATCCCTCGCTGTTGTTTGGAGGTGCCTCGGCACAAAGATTTCCCTCGTTCCAAAGAGGAGAACTCCTTTGCGGCAAATGCTTCGCCGCCGTTCTCTCAAGTCTACGGCTTCGAACTCCCCAGGTCGAGAGGCTGGGAATCTGCAGCTCGCACGACTCGAACAAGCTTTAAGTGCAATATGGAATCACGACCGTGTGCTGCGCTGGTCAGTATCGACCCTGGACGAAAGATGGAGCGTGTGGTGCGCAACTTACAGCAGAAAGTACAAGCCTCCACTGTTGGAGTGAGGGAGAGAGGGCACTGACATGCTCCGCTTCAATCCAATCCCTGAGCCCTCGATTTACAGGCTGCCATTAGCTTTAGTCATGGGGCGTCTTGGGCTTAGTAGTCTTCTCACTGAGTTCGGGTGAAAAATGAAAAATCTCGAATTTTTGGGGATCTTTGTCAAACATCTGCAAGGATTAGTCCATTTGGTTATCTCCGGTTTACTTGCCTTTGCCTGTGCGTGCAACCTTGCCAACAAAGTGATGCTGCGCTACTGATGCTTGAAGAATAAGAAGTATAAAGTAGTAAGGATGCCACGCGAATCCTCAATTTTAACGACTCAAAGGCCTCTCCGAGGCTCGAGCATCAAACTTGGAGTTGCCAAGGTTCAAGACCGCGGCGATCATGTGGAAAATCTGTATCGCAAAGCTGGGCAAGAGAGGAAACGATGCCTAAATCGACATGGTAGGCCTCCGAAAGATCCTCCTTCTTGATGCCTATTGTCTGCATTGCATGGATGCGACGCTCGAACATCTCCACGTCATCAACGTCCTGAACTCGACTGTCAAAGCAAGCACTTGTTCCAGCCGGAAGCGTTTCTGGAATCCTTCAGCGTTTTGCAGCTGGATCGTGTCAAAAACGCAAAGTTCGAGAGCTCCTCAAAACCTCCGGCCCGGTCATTGCATCCGTCCGTGCCAAAACCAAGCTCCCGTGCCTTCCAAATCGATGTCCATCTCTTCTACCACCTGACTGTTGGTGGCGGCTTTGAAGCATTACACGCTCTCTGCAGAAACGTCGCGGGTCAACATAGTCACGAGCGCATGGCCACAACAAAACCTAACACCCCTGCTTGCCTTCTCTTTCGACAAGAGTTGCGGGTATCTGTAGGCCTCACCGCAGGGGCGAAGCTTCGTTGCCAAATCACACTCTCCGAGGTCCAGTCCTTGCTGCTGCCGAGCTTTGCCGCGGCTGCACCTCGACGCTCCAGCGGATAGGAGAAGACAAAAAGAAAAGTACTCGCGAAGGCCAGCACAAGCTTCATAAAAGATATGATAGTTTCGCTCTCCTTCCTCCGAGTTGCAGCAAGTGACAGGAGTTGCGACGAAAAGAAGCAAGGCGCCACGCCTGCTGCTCACACACCCGGACTTTCTCGAGCAAGTAGTGTCTGATTCGGGCTCCTTGTTGCAGACAGGTTTTGGCGGATCTACGCTTTAGATTCATGTAGATTCTTGCAGGGCCCACAGACAGAACGTCACGCTGATTGCAACAGCCAGTCGGGGTCTCGACCGCAGAGTCTCAAGCTTTCGCCAGACATGCCCTGGACGGCCTTTATAATGCAGCAAAGATTGAGGAGACATCACTCATCACCCTTGCAGAAGCTGTAAGCACCACACGCCCTTAACGCCGGAGTCTTGGGAAGGCCGGAACCTGAGTCCCAAACCCTGCATTTGCCTAACGTCACACGCACTTCAGCTGGCAAGCCTGCAACCGTCCACAGCCAACTTAATGGACACATTACTGGAGGCTGTTGCGAAGGGCAAAGCCTGCTCTTTGCGCAACCAAAATCCGCCGACCCTGTGTGCGGTTGGTTTGTGGGTGACAACCTCCCTGTTTCCCTCGAGCTCCCGAACTCCGCCGAACACGAACACACCTCCCAACTTCAGAACATCCCCGCAGAGACTTCGGCCCACGCCACATGCCCCAACTTTGCCAACGACCCCGTCGCGGCAGCAACAACAACAACAACAAGAACAACTGCAACAGCAGCAACAACAACCGCAATAACCACAGCATGCCACAACCACAACGACAGCGACAACCAGGACTGCAACGTCAACAATGTCAGCAACATCAGCAATGCCAGCATTGACAACGGCAGCAACGATAACAACGCGACGACAACGGCAACAGTAACAGTAACAGCAACAATTTTTATCGGGCGCTGAGCGAGCGGGCTCTGCTCATAGAGGGCGCATCAGAAACCTCGGAAACGTGCCGTAAGCCAGCGCCGCCCCTTAGCAGCTGACCTGCCGACATTCCAATAGTTGTAAAGCTGCTTGTTTTTGTTTGGGGGGCGGCCCTATGCAACTCTCCCGCAGCAACTCCCAATGCACAGTCTGCGAGTACATTGAAAAGGAGCTGGCTGTGAGGAGTGTCTTGCACGTTGGCAGCCTCACTAGGTTACTCCACAAATGGCGGTCTACAGCTAGTTTGCGAGCTTGTAGATACGAAAACGGGAAGGTAGGGCTTCGGGTTGGAGGGTGTCGAGAGGACTTTAAAAGCCAGCGCCAAAGTAGCTTGGTACACTGTTCTGTCCAGTGGACTCGCCTCCTACCTGGCCTGAGGCCTGCTCCTACTGTTCCCCCTCTGTACTGAAATGTATGCGTGAAACAGCAGTTCCGTTCTATACTGGTCGGATGGGATCGCAGAATGTGCCCAAAATGCTTCAGTTGTGCTTTGTGGATGTGGTGTGAGAGGGGGGGCTGCAGAGAATCGGGACCCTGACTGAAGCTCGATGAACTTTCCGAATCGACTGGAGTTGTCATTCCGCAGGGTTCGGGCCTCAGCAGCTGAGTGGGATACGCTGACCAACGAAATCGCACGAGATCTTGCCGATCGGAGTCATGGCGATCCAAGTGATCCAAGGGCTGCACATTCCCGAAAGCTTCCAGCAAAGGATTCGACTCCAACACCTCGCCACGATTCTGCTCACAGAATCGGTCAGCAATAGCTTGCTTGGTGAGCAAGCACAGCTTCAAGAAAGATCCGTGACCGCGAGCACGGCTATCGATGTAACCCTGCCAGCCTGCTTTTCTACATCAGTAACCTGGCAAGATGCTGTCGTGCAGGCTCGCTGGCCGCACAAGAACCAGTAACAGTATACACCGTGGCGGGAGAAGGCCTGACCGTCGGCAGATCCTGCAAGGGCTAGAAACTTCATCACAAACCTGAGTCATGTGCTTCAGCCAGGGGGTTACAAGCATGCTTCATCCACCTGCTGCATGCGCGGCCGACACTACTACCAAGGCGCTTGCTTTGTCGTCTCCGTCTTGCCTGCACCGGACTCTCCACTGATGAGAACGGTCCTCAGCAGATGCAGCTTCATCTGCAGGACAACCTCCATTCTGCCACTACAGTATTGCCTTGGCGAAGAAACATCTACTAAGGTTTCGGCTGGGACTTGTGACGATCACAAATCCCGCGATAGGAGGCGTTTGATGTGCTGAACACATGCGGCCTCGAACATCAGGAGAGTATAGAATACTCACGTAATGGCTTGCCAAGCTCGAAACTTTGTAGATGGCTTTGTCGTGATGAAGTTCTTCAGAATCTGCCGCCACAAGATGCAAAGATTCGTTCAGCGCTTCGTACCACAGATCGGCCTCTTCATCATACAAGCCAGGAATATGCTTGAAAGGGTTCAATGCCTTTATCGCAACAACAAGATTGTCTTGGTGCCGAAAAGGAAACGCAAATCCTGCGTGCATGCAGTGGTTTGGGTGCCACACGATGAGGATAGGTCCGGTAAATGTGTAGATCTTGTCTATGTCGAAACGATTCCTTAGTGAGGTCTCGCCGGGGGAACTCATGAGCTGAAGACTACACTCGGATCCAAGCTGTAGCGAGCTGAGCACAGCCGGCTCGTGTAAGTGCGTCAACCTGCACTGTCGCTGGTTCGGCGGCGTGAACATGAGCAACCGAGTAAGGCTCATTGTGGCAGCATTTAAGGCATGAGCTGCGTCAAATCATCTAGCACAGACAAGCCCTCTGATGTGAAAACATCGGACGTCCTTCAGAGCACGGATGTTCGAGCAAGGTCAGAAGCCGATTCTGCCGGATCGATGCTCCTCAGGAAAATCGGTTCGTTTGGTCCCAGGACCAGTCGACCATTCGGATCTTCGGCCGTCTTGACGATGATCTCCTGAAAGCTTGGACTCAACGTTGGCAAACGTTGGAAGGCTATCGAAGCAGCTGCGCTGGGCGCCTTTTCGCTCGATGTGACAATTTCAGCCTGTAACACAACCGTGTAACAGGAAGCGAGCAACGCGAGCTTCGACTGCAGATCCGACATCATGCCTGTATCCAGACTTCTTCCTCGTGTTTCACCTGGGCGTGTGCTTCTGCCATTTGGCGATCTAGCGGTTCTGCAAGATCTGGGCAACCCACCCATATCAGTGTTCCCTGCGCATACTGGTTCGACATTGGGCCGGGGATACGCTGTGAATCCTGCAGCGACGTCGGAAGCAAAACCTGTGGTTTTTGGTACCATGAGGCCAGCACAGTGCAAGGACATGGCCGACTGGCACCAATCCGGCTACGGACGGCTCGCCCAACGCTTGAAATCAATCCGCGAGCAAGACGTCGGAACGGATGCGGTGTCAATCTCGGGCTCGAGGCCGCAATGTTTTATCATCACTGCTCCCAACCATGATTCCTGGGCCCGCCCCCTTGGATACATTAGCTGCTGGGATCTCCGAGTAGAACTACGGGGATGCAGAGGCATATCAACATCAGATTCCTGGTTTCGACTCTCACATCCGTTCGAGGGAGGCAAGGCTCCACACGATCTCACATTGACAGAGCGGCAACATACGGCAACCAGATTGCCGACCAGGGACAACACCCGAACCTAGCCAAGAAATGAACAAAAAAACTACACAACAGCCCCCAGCCGCCACAACCCTGCCTAGCCTGTGGTTCGTTCTTTGTGGATGTTTGGGGATACGGCAATTAGATCCAATCACAGCAATTCCCGGGAACCACCGAGCGCAAGAATGTATCCAGGCACCCCTGAACCGGGTCCGAGGATACATTACGGAGCTGGGACAATTCTGGGAAACCCTGCCTGGCCTGTGGTTCGCTCATTTTGGATGTTTGGGGATACGGCCATTGGATCCAATCACAGCACCACCCGAAGTTTCCCGGGAATCACCGAGAACAAGAATGTTTCCAGGCACTGAACCGGGTTCAGGGGTCCGAGAATACAAACCCTCCGTGGTAGATGCTGGTGTGCAATGCTCGGCCGACAAGACTGTCGTTAAATGAAGGTTCTGCAGGGATGGTTGCATCTTGAAGCGCATAAGTTTGAGCCCTCTGCCAATTCCGGACCGTGTCCACGCCATGTGCCACGCGCAAAGTGTCAAGCTCGGTGGTATAGGACTGGTGCCCGGCCAATCATAGTGACTATGCGGGCCCTTTGGCAAAGGTCCGCTGAAACGCACTGTGCGCTGCCGCCCACGGCATGCTGGCGCCGCCGCTGACGGGCTTTCTTCAGCTGCATGCAGCACGAGACCCCGTGATATGTTTTTTCCCCCCCGCACCTTGTTGCGACTGCGCGAAGGGAGTCTACATCCCTGTGCGAACAGCCTACACGGGCATGCTCAGGCTTGGCGCACCGGCAGGCGGCTCGGGGCAGCCAGCGCATGTCGGCGAAAAACTGTTTTTCCTTACAGTGTTCCGCCTGCCGGAAGGTGCCCCGCGTCTCCTTCGCAACGGAGAGAACGCTGCTCCAACGGTGCACCATTGGGAGGTCTCAGCGGAGCGAACACACCCCAGCGTACTGGGCAGGCATGGGCGATGCTTCTCATCCAAGAACCGAGACGCGAATCGCGCGATATTGGACATGGGAAGCAGCGCGCATCTGCCACAGCGAGGAACCCAGACCACCATCCAACAAAGGCCTGCACCTTGCGAAGAGGCCTATGCAAGCAACCGGTTGGGTTCATGGTCATCGCTGCCCATCGGTGTTTGAATCAGAATTCGGCTCTGATTCGCGGAGTGCGGATACCGCCAAGAAGCACGCCGATCCTACGCCTGGCAGGGTAAGCCAGTGAAAACTTTAAGCATAACCTGCAAACTCGGGTTCACATTTTTTCGCGCTAGTAATGCCCGTGGCTGGAAGGTGCTTCGTGTTCTCACCACTAGAGCCAACTGCTTCTCCAAGCGCTGCAAGGACTCAAAACCCTTGGCCCCCGAGCGGCCGCGAGTTCAGCCTGCGTGGCTGCGTTTTCCTGCTGCTTTCTCACGATTGACCCTCTGGTCTTAAAGTCCACGGGAGTGGTCGGGGACTCGTTCCTATGCTGTCGGAATAGCATGGATTGGCTTGGCTTAGGTGTTCATCCCTCTCATGAGTTGGATTTTCGAGGGCCGGCGCAGGGTTGGCGATGTAGGTATTGCAGCAGGGACACACGATTGCATGGTGGTGAGAGTTCTTGCAAAGCGCGGAAAGAACACCACACCCTCACCAGGAAGCCCGGGTGCGGTTCCGGTGCGCCGTTTCTAGTCGGGCTTGGATCAGGAGAACATCTCCCAGACTGAAGGCCGGGTGATGATAAGTGGGGGCTGCGAAGCACGTTGCGCTACCCCAAACCGTGGCAACAGGCCAAATCGCTGGGCCAAGATTCGGGTGACGGAGGGCCGAACATGGCTTTCCGGGACACGACATGACTTTGAGCGGCTTGAGCATCAACAAAGAGAATTTCAGCGGTCGCACGGAGGGCGCGGCAGCCCCTCGCTGTGCCAGCTCGCTCGCGGAGCCAGTGCTGGCGGGGGAAGTATCGGCCCAGCAGGCGGCGCGGCACGTTGCCATCACACGGGCAAGGCCGAGGATGAGAGAAGGAAATGATTCCAACAAGCTGGTGCGGGAACGAGCTTAGCATCTTGACACCTTCTGGTGCAAAGACCTTCTGCGAACAACAGCAATCCTGCGTTAAATCAGTCCGATGTGAATCTGGTTGCTTTGGCAATGACCTCCATCGACACCTCGCTCTCGCCACAGCAGGTTCTGGCTTTTGTCAGATGCGCAAGCATTCCTAATCATTGTGGCCCGCAGAACTTACCCAAGTGCATGCTGTTCAAGCCGGCATGTGGCGGAGCAGGCATATGCCCATCTGCTAGATGGTTGAGCGACGAGGGTCGTGCGACTCTAAATGTTACGAAACAGAAAAACGATAGGATAGGATATGGAGAAAGAGAGGCACTGATATGCAAAGCGCTTCTTTTGTAAACTTACCAGGTGCAGATGCATGATGCCAAATTCCTTAATTACCATGCAGCCACATCCATTACGTCGCCCGCATCAGATCTGCTCTTCTTTCAGGGTCTCAACAGCAGTGCGTGTAACCAGCCGAGGCAGCCGAGCTTGTCGATGTCTTCAGGAGAGCCGGCTTGAAGATGTTCGGAGTTCTTCTTCTCCAGCCTGCACTGCATCTCGCGATGGGGCGACGGGAGGACGTAGTTCGCCAGTTTGCCAGGGCAGCTCTCCTTCTCACAGCAGGCAACCCAGGTCGTTGACTCTTGGACTTGTGAACAATAACAATACCAGAAGCTGCAAAGGTCCTGCATCCGCAGATCCTTTAGGAACACGGAATCCCCACAGCGCATGTTAGACTGGTGCTGCCTGCAGAGAAGTGCATGCTCTCAGGCCGCAGATACAGCAAACAAAACAACCAGAACGTTGGCCAACGAACCTACTTGCTACAGTGGCCTTTGTCAATGGCTTCAATTGGCGCACAAAGTCGGCGAAGGACACGCTAGCATTGCCTCAGCAAATCAGTGGTTCGCTTGAGCAACTGGACGAGCTCAAGGGGACTCTTTTTGAGGTCCTTCCACGCCGCCTCAGCGCTCAATTCAGCTCCAAGGACTTTTCTGCGTGGTCATGCCTGCCTAAATCGCAGGCACAAGGCAAATGTCGAAAGAAACGAAGTCTAACGCATGTTTCTGCGCATGGACATCATTTTATGTACAAGCATCTGAGCGAAGGAGCTCTCAGAAAAAGTCAGGCTATGAGAAACTGCCAGATTTCAGGCAGTCCAGCACAGGCATGAGATGCTCACTGCAGAATGCCGACGAGCTTGCCGATGCTCTTATCGGTGCCCCGCGCAAGCATGCGGGAGTAATTCTCCAGCATTACATCCTGCATGATGTGCTGGACACTAGACAGCTCTAGGGACTCAGATTAACAAGTATATCAGTCATAATAACAGAAAAGACGCACCCCGCCCGACATTTGCCGCTCAGCCACGTACCGCTCCGGATGGCGCCCTGTGCAATCAAGCCGCAACAAAGCGCTTGGGGATTGAGTGCAACTGTCGATCCGACTGATGCAAGAGTCGGAATTGGAACTCAACTCTTGCCTCTGCTGGATACTGGACGTGGTTGACACGGCCTCCCAAGTCGGGTGGAGTACCTCAGCAGGCTATCAATGACTGTGGGACAACGAAACAGGACAGCCACAAATCATGTCCTCAAAATGAACAATGAGAGCCACAGCAAGCAAGAGAAAGTAGTGTGTGTGGTCTGATTGAAGACAGGAAGCTCGCGTGCTGCAACAGCAGTGCCAATGCCTGTTTCATGCTGTGTCCAAGCTGACTCAACATGACACTCGCTGATCACTGCACATGCGACTGCAATCACACAAGAGGAACACGTTGTTGCAGGCGGGCGACCGTACCTCTTTGCCGATGTTGGCCTTTCCTGCGGCTCAGCATCTTCACCCTCTTTGGCCTCCTGTGCATGATGGTACACATGCCCATCGGTTCCTCAGCATTTCTTGAGCTGCGAGCGACGAAGCACACCAAGTACGGCAAACGCTCCACAAGTAGGTGATGCCAAAAATGCTCTCGAGGTGCCTATCGTACCACGGCCAGGAGATTGGGATCGATCTTTAAAGCATGAGATGCAGTGCTTTGTTGTGCCGGCTGCCACCATTTCATCATTGGTATCCAGCATGAGAACCTTCTGCCCCAGGCTGTGGCGCATGTTTTCCAGGGCTGATTCCACGAGATCGTTCAACCTTATCACCATAAATGTTCAATGCAGCACATACTTAATACTTAGCCGCAACTGGACCTCCCCCTTCTGCATCCTTTGGCAGGGCCAGGTACTTTCAATCACCCAGGGAACACTGCGGGCTGATTGATTGTCCAGGCTCTTGAAACAATTAAAGCGAGGTCAAGCAGCTGCGTGCGGAACCTTGAAACGACCTTGTCCAACTCCTGGCGGGTCTGCTCCTGCTTCTCTCGGAGCTCGGCAGACAATTCCTGCACGGAGCTTTGTCGCCCTGTCTGGCATTCGGCTTTCTATGATTGTTTGGAATATTTGAGTCTGGGCTTTCGCAAATCCACCAATGGACTTGCTTTCCGGAAGGAGTTGAATGCTTCGAAGGTGCAGGATGTCGTCGGTCTTAGGGCCACTTACATTTCTTTTGAATCAGTGACTCTCCAGCTCCCGGGCTCTCGGCCTGTACAGCGATCAAATGTCTGTAATTGTCTGTATCAAGATACACACATTAAGGCTCACTAAATCTTGCATGATGCACAACTTGAGATTGAAAAACTGTGTCCCTTTTACGAATACTACAGCACCGATGTGTAAACTTCCGCCAGTTGCGCTGCAAAGGCCAATGACACGACAACTGCCACCAGCAACATCACCACAACCATGACTACAACAACAGTTGCAATCGCTATGGCTACTGCAACAACGAATGCAATACAAAGTACAACTGCTCTTCATCATCCCAGGACTGTCTCATAGCAAGTATGACTGTATATCTATAACGGCAGCTCGTACGAAAAACGACAATGACTTCTGCTTCTACTTCTTTCTTGCTGTTACTGATTACTACAAGTGCTACTACGACACCACCACCACCACCACCACGACTGCTACTACTACTACTACTACTACTACTACTACGACTACTGCTACTACTACTACTACTACTACTACTATTACTACGACTACAACTACGACTACGACTACGACTACTGCTGCTGCTGCTGCTGCTGCTACTACTACTACTACTACTACTTCTACTGCTACTACTACTACTACTACTACTACTACTACTTCTACTGCTACTACTACTTCTTCTTCTACTACTACTAGTTCTACTTCTACTTCAACTTCCCCTTCCACATCCGCTTCCGCTCCTGCTTCAACTTCCGCTGCCGCTTTCGCTTCCACTTCCACTTCTACTTCTGCTACTACTGCTTCAACGACGACTGTAAGGACGACGACAACTAGTACTACTGCTTGCCACCATTAGCACAGCTGCTGCCACTACGACTAGCCCTACTGTTACAACTCTTGCTTCTGCTCCTCCTACTCCTGCTCCTGCTCCTAGTCTTGCAGTCTTACCAAACCTCCAATCCTCCCAACCTCGGTCCTAACCTCTTGGCATCACCTCTTAGCCGCCTTCGACTACACATATCAATAATGAGGACAGTATATCATGAGGAGGGGTAAACCCTCGACAGGAACTTAAATGCCTACAGGGTTTCCTTCTTTGTAATAATTGTAATGTTCATGATGATGGTAAAGATGCTACAGAAGAAAAGAAACAAAAAATGGCGACGGCGGCGAGCAGGACGATGATGGCGATGACGATGGTGACGGTGATGACGACGATGGTGATGATGGCTATGATAATGATTATGATTATGATTATGATGATGATGATGCGGACGATGATAATGGTTACTATGATGATGAGGATGATGAGGCATGAGGATGACGAGGAGAATGATGAGGGGAGGAGGATGCGGATGATGATGACGATGATGATGATGAGGAGGATGATGATCGCGATGAGGATGACGATGACGATGGCGATGATGACGATGACGATGACGACTTCGATGACGACGACGATGACGATCATGATGACGATGACGACAACGCCGACGATAACCATAATGACGATGATGGCGATGACGATGACGATGACGACGGTGACAACGGTGACGACGATGGCGACGGTGACGACGATGACGATGGCGATGACGATGATGATCATGATGATTATGATCATGATTATGACGATGACGATGACGATGGCGATGATCATGACGATGATCATGATGATGATGGTGATGGTGATGGTGATGGTGATGGTGATGGTGATGGTGATGGTGATGGTGATGGTGATGGTGATGGTGATGGTGATGAGGATGAGGATGAGGATGAGGATGAGGATGATGATTTTTCCCTCTCGCACTGCAGAGAACTATGCTCACGGCGAGGTTGGTTGGGTTGTACAGTAGATGCAGTGATTAAGCAAACCAACATTTATCGGTCGCGACAGTTCAATGAGATGCCGCAGACTGTCCACAACATCCGATGCCAAAGTAAGTGTGCGTCAATGATCAGCAGAGACGCACATGCACTCTTCCAACACACTACAGCTCCAGCAAAATGCCGTTATTGAGCCATCGCACAAGTCAGAGGCCTCTCAGTCAGCTCACTTGATCTCCATATTGGTTCTCGCAGCTTGTCAGCCCTCCACAGAACAATCCCTTCACATCCAAATCAGATGCCGTTTGCGTTCCATCTGCTGCGATCAGTCACAGCCTCCAGGCAGAATGTCGAAATCAGCACATCAAAGGGTGGAAACCATTGCGACATCTACCCGAAAACATCGCCCGCATTTCCAACCAGATGCAGTTATTTGCCTACTGTCAGCATCCTCGCCCAAAAGCGCCGACCATAACGGCGCATCACTTCAGAGCCAGTTGAGGATGATGATGAGCGGGATGGTGATGATGATGATGATGATGATGATGATGATGGCAGCAATCATGGACATCAGGACAACGCTGGCAATGATGAGGAGGAGGAGGATGGGGAGGAGGAGGAGGAGGAGGCGGCGGCCCTCATGCTGCGATGTGACGGTGTCCTGCATCTCATCAAAGAGCCTGGCAAGGAAAGCGCCCAGCATCATTCACATGCCGGCAGCCTGCTCATGCCTCCGCTCCATTCTCCGCAGTGCTGCATCCATCTCTTCCTTCATGTTGCTGAGGTCAAGCTTCTGGAGTGAATTGAAAGCTTCTTGCATTTTGACTTTCCTGAGCTGCGATCAACGGGCGCGACTTCCAATTGAGGTTGAAGCCAGATGAAGCAAGGAAAGACCTGCTTGTGGTGGCCGAGCCACAGATCCTCGATATCAGAAGCATGCTCCTCCATCACCTGGAGTGCGAAACCAGCTCAGCACTGAAAGAGCCTCTCCACGGTCAATGCCTCGCAGAGCTGGTCTACTTTGCCACCAGTCTCCGCAAACCGCATGTCAACCGAACGTTCCAGGCCCTGAATCGCATGTAAGGAGACGCATCATCATTGTCCTCTGACGATTTCCAGAGTCTCAGTTGTGGGCGTTCAGTCTAGCTTGAAGCAACTCAAAGTCGTGTGCATTTTGCTGGGTGGCCTGGCAGAGTTGAGCAGCGGAGGCGCCAATCGCAACTCGATCAGCTTTCATGTCCTCGTGCATCTCGCGAATGCACCCCTCGGTTTCTTCGATTCGCACCTCCTGCAAGCAAAGGAGTCATTGAAGGCCATCAGCAGCACTGCCCACAGCATCCACCGCTAAGCTAGTGACGCAGCGGCTGATGCCCTGTCTAAGATCGTTCATGCAGCTCTCCCATTCTTGCTTCACGGTGCTTGCAGTGCTTGCATATCACGTGCACAGGTCAATCCGTCCAATCACGCTGTGCTGTTCATTGCTGCTTTGTTTTGGAGTGCCTTCGAGCTACACAATTTGTCGCCGAAGACACGGAGTGATCTTGGACTTGGACAATTGCCAGCTCCATCGACGCCCGGAATCTCGTCATTCAACAGCGCGTCTACTTCCAGCTCTAACTTGTCGATGCGAGCCACCAAGCCCTCCAGGAATCTATCCGACCGCACAAAGAGATACCGGCACACCCGCCTGCTTCGGCAAGTCAAGCTGTCGTTCGTTCTGAAGCTCCGCAAGCGAGGCTTCCGACAGGCGCAGTCGAGCGAGGATGGCTTCCAACAGGCCTGACATCCAACCCACCCCATCCTTTGCTTAAGGGCTGCTCGCCTGGTCAAACCACGTCATACCCAGTTTAGTGCCCTGTTCCTGAAAGTCACCTCAGAACAGCTGAAGTTTCACTCTGATCGCAAAATCTGGCAGCACCTTTCAAGGAGGAAGTGTCCACTGCCAGCAGGACGTCCGGCACGACAAGGGGAGGCTCCGCAGCCATCCACCCGATACTTCACTCAAAATTATGGCAATCACTTCTTGGCTATCCTGTATGGTACTACCGCTGACTCAACCTAAAGGCTCTTTGGGGCTGGTGCCCTGAACCAAAAGCGCGTGACACGCACAGCATAGCATCTGGAAGGCTCGAGCTCGACACCCTGCGCCCGTCACGTCTTGGCCAATCACCGGGCTGCGCATATCGCTGCCAGATCAGGTACAGATCACGCTCTGATGCTCGAAGCTGGAGGTGCGTCAAGGCACGCCTTGCGACAGGCACAAGAAACATCCCTTCCACAGAGTTTGTGTCCGGGCCTGAAATCCGGAAGTGTGAAGCCCTGGCGGCCCTGTGCCAAAAAACTGAAGACATCACTCAAGGCGGTGATGTCATGGCCTCGCCAGCCATACACGCAGCACAACTAAACGAGGCTCACACGACCCATCACGACCCCATCTGCAGTCGACATCGGGGTCCAGGCCAAGGAATTGAGCGAGCCGAAGCCTTCAAGAATGCAACGAAAGACAGCCCAAACTCGCAAGCAATTCCAGGACGTCTCGCCTGTCTTTTTCCAGCTCCTGCCAAGAGAGCATTAAATATTTGCCGGTCTAGCCTTCTGTCATGCCCAGCGTCCTCGGCAGCAACTGCTGCTGCCGTGATGGTGCGGTGCAGCTGGCCGCGTGCCTGCCGGCCACCAAGGACTTGAAAGCCACAAACTGGCGAAAGCTCCAATCTTGCACGCAGGGATTCATGACGAGTTTCTAAACGATAGGAACGAAAAGATCCTTTCATTGCAGCATCATGACTACCAAGTTTCGCGTCCAGAACCCCGACCAGCAAAGCCCAGCAAAGCCGATGAAAAAAGACGGCCCTCTGGCCACCAAGCCTTAAAAAGAGCAGTGGTCAAGCCCTCCTTTCAATCCTCTAGACGCTAACAAACCCTTGCGCGTTCATGGTGCGCGCAGCTTCCGCGGAGCCAACTGCGCGTGGCCCTGTGACTCTGCTCCAACCTTCAAGCCCTGGCGCCCGCGCCCTGCGTGTTTCGGGTGCCTGTGTACGACTGAAACCCCAGTTTGCTGAGATTCTCTTCCACTAATGAAAGAGATCTGCAAGGCACGGTACCATAGCAAGGCTGGGTTTGGGGCCCACGTTGCTTTGCAAAACTGATTTTGGCTGTTTTCGGATCTAGGAGCAGGAGTAGGAGCAGTAGCAGTTGTACAAGTAGTAGTAGTAGTCGTCGTCGTCGTCGTCGTCGTCGTCGTCGTCGTCGTTCTCGTCGTCGTCGTTATCGCCGTCGCCTTTATAAGATCTCCCGATACCGTTGCGCACACCCCTTGCACGCATCGGTTTTTACAGCAACCGGTGCGCAAGCCTTACACGCATGCGACTGTTGCTACGAGCGCTTGCGCGCCCTTTTGTTTATGCCGCCCCTGGTCTGGCTAGTTCTTCGATGGTTTAGGTTTCTGCTCTGCTTGGAAACAGCGTTTGGAAGCGAACACGTGACTCAACAGGAGCCTCACGCCTGTCTGCTTTTGCACAAGGGCACTCGAAGTCTACTTTCCGGCTCAATCTCCGGACTTCGTGTCCAAGGTCACGAACCTCGAAGCCTTCTCTCTGCAAAAACACTTCGCACCCAGTCCAGGTTCCTGAGGTGATGCGGTGTCAACTTCAGCTTTGGGTATATGGGCCACATAGCCACCAACCACAAAGACTGAGTTTTCAGTTTGGCACTTCGCTTCTTCTGCGCCACTCGAAATGACACCGGCCCTAACATCAAATCACCCAATGTATGACACTCCAAGTGTGTGAAAGCAGTTTATCCACAACCTGCTGCCACCCTTGTCACTTAGTGCTAGTCTAGCAGATGAAGTAGTTGCGCTGTGATAGACAGCTGTCACCCAGCAGCCCGCACTTCTTCATGGGCCCATGGGCAGAGAGCAGAAAGCAGCAGCAAGAGGCCGGCAGACTTGCACGGCTTCCATCAACGCGACGGCCCCGCGGCACACGAGCAGCACTTCTGGGCAAGACGGTGCCTGCACGGACAAGCGACTGGCCCCTGTCTCGTCCTCCCAGCCTGGAAATGGAAAGCTCAGAGGATGCCATCCC